CGGACAAAGAGCGAGGGGTTAGCAAAAGACGGGAAAAACTGCAGAGCAGCAAGTTTGGTGTGGAGTGTGTCGTGCCACTTATGGGGTGCTTGACGCAGGCCGTAGACCCAGATGGGATGGACCCAGAGAAGCCAAGTAGGCGCTGGAGGTAGATCTGCTCGTGCCGAGTGCCCTGCAGGAAGGCTGTGGAGAAGTCGAGTGAGTGAAGCTCGTTGTTACGCTGCGCGGCTAGGTGGAGGAGCACCCGAAGAGTAGTCATCTTTGGGGTTGGGGAGAAGGTCTGGAAGAAGTCCGCACCCTCTCGCTGACTGAAGCCTCTAGCCACGTAGCGCGCCTTAAACTTCACCGACTCTCCAGGTGCACGCTTCACCCTGTAGATCCACATGTCATTGACTACATTCGCCCCATGCGGGGGAACTGCGTTGACGTAAGTGCCTGCGGATCTGTAAGCTGCCATCTTTGCCTCCATGGCTTGTATCCACTGTATCCACAGCGCCTCAGCGTGAGAGTGCAGGATAGGGATGTCCAGGGCATCCAAGTCGCCCTCTGGGAATTCAAGCATGGAGTAGAGATGGGGAATATCAGAAGCAAGGTAGGCCGGCACATACTGCCTGTTCTCTAGCACGTCACTATCAAGGGAAGGTGCACCCCCGATGGACGGAGAACTGGCAGTACCAGAGACCAGAGCGGCAGCGTAGTCAAGGCAGTGGCTAGCACCAAAGTCAGCGACAGCAGTGACAAGTGCATAGACAGACTCAAGAGGAGCAACAGAGTCAATGATAAGCAATGCGTGCAAGCGCGAGAGGACTGGTCGAACAGTGCGAGCAGAGTCAGTGGGACGGGCAGAGGACGACGGGAGCGACGACTGGGGAGGTAACGGAAAGACGGGGACTGGAGGAGCATGAGATTGCATATGGTGGACACTAGGACGTGGAGAGACAGGACGACCGCCAGGGGGACGACAGACCCAGTGGGGAAGAACGGTGGACTGGGGGTATCACATGATCGAATGTGTCGAGGAAAGGTTGCACTATCGATCAGTACAAGGCGCTTTTATACTTCCAAAGTACATCAGGTAACCAGGTTTATCTTATCCCAAAGGAATAGACCCTTCTAGAAAATAGAATCACCCTGCGTATAGCCACGCGAGGCTATTGGCTTTAAGGGATTACGGCAGGATTACGCTAGATATAGCGCACCAGTACATCCCGAGCGTGGTTGGTGATATAATGAGAATAACAGGATAAACCAAAGGATAATGGAAAATGAAGAATAGGAAACCAAATGAGATGAGATAAAAAGAGAAATGGAATGGAAAGGAAATAGGGAAAGGAACCAGTGGTGTAACGGGGTCGTACTCTCACAGGGGGCGAGGGGGGAAAGGGGGACAAGACAAGGGACGGAGACGAGCGCACGGGGAAATGAGCTGGAGAGGAGTCTGGGGTAGGGAACAACGGGCCGTAAATAGGGCCAGGAACAAAAGGAGGGATGGGTGGGAGGTCAGGGGAACCTGAGGAAAGACCAAGGAAACGAAGGGCAGACTGCAGCTGCTACGGCTGTTGCGGCGGCGGCTGCTCCTGCTGGTGGTGCTCCCTGTCCTCTCCAGGACCTCCAGCTCCACCTCGGCTACCACCGGCACTCTCGAAAACAACACCCCCAGGTTTAGCACCCCCAGATGCACCACCCACAGAACCAGCACCTTAAAGATTACTGCCCCTTGTTGCTGCCGCTGAGCCTACTGCGTTGGCTGCGGCTGCTGCTAAGGCGAGGGGGAGGCTGCTGAGGTACCTTGGTTGGGGGAGGGGCAGCAGGGACAGCAAGCGTACCCCTAGCAGCTGGGGCCCCAGAGCCAGCAGACTCCCCTACGGGCCCGACTGAGGGGAACAGAGTGGCATGAGAGACACCCGATGGGGCCGGGCGGGGTGGGAGGGGTGCAGCTGGCACGGCAGGGGCGAGGAAAAGAGGAGGTATGACACGAGAGCCACTATGAGGGAAACGGGTGTAGTAAGAAAATGTCTCGTTATAGGTAATGTCACGCGAGTGGTAGAAGCGGTGGTGCACTGGGTGGCAAAACCCAAGGAAACCCGAGGAAGACATTAGGGAGAGTGCGGGCTGAGAGCTTGTCTGTGCCACTAGCCCAGACATGAGCAAGGCTGCTCCAGGCGTGGAATGCAGAGGCGCCACTAGGAGACATGGTCCAGCGAAGGGTCGGCAAAACCTGTGGGCGTAAGGAGCGCGTCGACATGTTAAGCTGGTGAGCTGAGTAGCGTACGACAAACGGCCACATATAATGTGGTGCACTGGCGTGGATAAAGGAGGTTTGAGCTACCTCCATGACCAGGCCGATGCGTTGCTCAGCGACCCCATTTTGGTGTGGGGAGTTCTGCAGTATGTACGTCTGGCGGATGCCCTCCGCGCGACAGAATTGTCCTAGATGGCCCACTAACTCGCCATCATTGTCCGAGTGTAAACGAACCACGGGCATGCGGTGCTGGGTGCGAGCAGCGAGCAGCCATGGGAGGATAATGCTTGGGAGGTCAGCCTTCTGCTCCAACGGGAACACCGTGGTGAAGCGCAAGAAGTCGTCAACGATGACTAGGAGGTAGCGCTCCCGGCTAAGAGAGTGTTCCTAGCAACCTCTTCCTAGGCTATCCTCTTCCCAAAATCGGCCCTCGGCTGGGAGCGTGTTCGAAGAACCGTTTTTCCAGCTAATTCGTTTTAGAGTCTCGTTCTTCACCGTAATTAATCAGCTCCCGTAAAAATTGCACTGTACACAGTCGCGCACTTCTGATTTTTTCGCGCCTGAAACGAGATTTGAAAGCACGCCTTGAATCTCGACAATCCCACTCTCGCGTCACACTACGCGGAAACGCACTAACTGTTTCGCGTCAATATTACGCGACACGGTAGCGCGCCAGTCTGGGAAGGGGTTGGCTGGGAAGAGGCCGCTGGAACGCACTCTAAGACCATGGACCAGGGCAGGGCCCCAGACGTCCATGTGCAGTGTCTGTAGCAGTGCCGTGGTAGGAGGAAACAAGGAGTGAGGGGCAACGAGCTGCCGGCCCTCGACGCAGGAGGTGCACATGAGCGCTACCAACGCAGACAGGGCTGGCTGGGAGCGACGTAGGAAGACCAGTGACTAGTCCGTACTGGGACATGTGCCTAAGACGCGTGAGTGCAGGGTGGCCTAAGCTGTGGTGCTATAGAAGAGTCGGGTGGGCGAGGGAGCAACAGGAGCACGACGCGGCTACTTCAGCACACGCAGCGCCTGGCTGCGACTCGAAACGCTTCCCCAATCACAAAACACACAACTATTCTCAGAGTTAGAAAGTTAACTAGAATGAGAGATACAAGGTGCTTTTGTGCCAAGGGGTTGTACTCTCTAAGAGTATTGACAACTATAACCTACCCCTCTCCCACCCTCTAACAATGGTTGGGACATGGAAAATTAAGCACAATCCATTGTAGGTCTATCTTACGACTCTAGCTCATACAAGTTGAGGATCAACTGGGAGAAGCACAACAGCTAGGCCAACTTCCGTAAACGCCCGGATAGAAGACCCCTATGTCTAATCATATACCGAGCAAGAAAGTGGTGGAGTTTCTTATAAACGGAAAAATTCAGGGGGTCCGGGTTTCTTATAAATGGAAAAAAAACTTATAAACGGAGCCATTTTTGGGTGGGCAGAAAGCGCTAACCGGGGTTTAGGGAGTGTACGTCACTTGGGTCTCAAACTGACTAAAAAAGTGTGTCTTATAAACGGAGAGGCCGAATACAAGATAGACGCCTAATACAAGACATAGTGTCTTCTATTCCATGGGGGTCTTCTTGTCAAAAGACTAGCTTAGCTAGGAAGCCATAGAATGGCACAAGGTTTAGCTAGGAGCTAGGAGGAGCCATGAGAATGGCGAGAGGTTTTAGGTGCTAGGAAAGTTGAGGAGGGGAAAAGAGGGTTGGATTAGGAAGAGAGAGGAGTACAAGGAGGGGTTTGTACCCTCTACAGAAAAGGTTCAGTAACAACCTACCAAGCCTATATAAATTATAACTTATATAATTTTAACACACCCCCTAGGCTTGGTAGTCACACACCCACACACACCCACACCCCCTAACCTAGCACCCCCATTCCAGCCACAGTGACAGCGACTCTAGGTCGGTCGACCCCACGGCGCGTGAGGCGGCGACGTCGACCGCAGGGGCTGCGGCGGCGACGGCGGCAGCGGCGGCAGTGTCGACAGCGGCGGCGGCGGCGGCGTGCGGCTGCGTGGCCCCGACGCAAGCGGCGACAGCGGCGGCGGCGGCGGCTTCGACAACAGCGGCAGCGGCGGCGGCACCCGCACCTCTCGGTGACGTGGCCTGGCCCCGCGACTGTGGGACGGCCGGCGGGAGTCAGCCGTCGTCTGCGGAATGGAAGAGGGCGCAGGGGAAGGAGGGGGGGTGGGGGGGGGGGGCGGCGCCACAGGCTGACATGCGGGCGGCCGGTCTAGCGGCGCCACAAGCGTCACGCGGCCGGCTGCAGCCCGACGACGCCGTCATGGAGCGGCGTCGATGCCGCAGCGGGGCGTCGACGCTGCGACGGCAGCACGACGTCGCTGGTACGCCGACTGCGCGCTGTCGCGTAGACGCCGCGGCAGCGTGACGGCGCCGTCACGTCGCGACAGCAACTTGACGCGACGGCGGAGCTGCGGCACGACGGCGCGGCCACAGCAGCTGGACGCGGGCGCCATGGACGTCGACAGCGGCGCCGCGGCACGACGACGCGGCCACAGCAGCTTGACGCGGCCGCCATGGCAGCGCGAGATAGAGAGAGAAACGAGCACGCAGCGGAAACGCGAGGAGCAGGCCCACACGGAACGAACTGCTCTAATACCATGTCAAAAGACTAGCTTAGCTAGGAAGCCATAGAATGGCACAAGGTTTAGCTAGGAGCTAGGAGGAGCCATGAGAATGGCGAGAGGTTTTAGGTGCTAGGAAAGTTGAGGAGGGGAAAAGAGGGTTGGATTAGGAAGAGAGAGGAGTACAAGGAGGGGTTTGTACCCTCTACAGAAAAGGTTCAGTAACAACCTACCAAGCCTATATAAATTATAACTTATATAATTTTAACACTTCTATCCGGGCGTTTACGGTAGTGCATGGCATAATTTAAAAGCCACCCAAAGTGACGCAACGCAAAACATAATTACCCTTCCCTTTCACTCATCTCGAAGCAGAAAGGTGCTTCAGTCGTTCTCAATATAGACGAGCCTCATCTCATATCCTACCCCCCTCTATACTTCTTTAGGCTCCTCATCCAGGAAAGGATAATCGATGTACCCCTTCACTTGCTCCGCAACAAAGAAGGTGCTCCGGTCATACGGGTTGAGCGGCGCGTTCAGCTCAAAGCGCTTCGGCAAGTCGGGATTAGCAAGGAAGAGACGGCCGTACGCAATCAAATCTGCCGACCCACCTTCGACAGCTGACATGCCGCTTTCACGCTGGTAGTTGGACAAGAGTTGGGAGGGGGGTGCGGAGGAATAGAGAATGGAAAGACAAATGGTTGAATGCGGGCCGCGAAACACATGTCGCCGATAGAAAATGCGGCATCAACTGTCATGTAATGACAGCCATACCACAAGCAGTACACCATGAATAGCACCATGCACAGCACCACCCATAGCATCATGCACAGCATCATGCACAGCATCATGCATAGCACCATGCACAGCATCATGCAACATGCTCCCCTCGTGCAAACGGAAGAGAAAACCCCTCATAGCCACACCGAGAGCAGAGCAGAAGTGGTGCGCACCTTATAGCCGCCAGCAGCAATGAAGGGCCCCGTGAACGCACCGCGGAAGGGCTCCAGCGTCTGCAGACAGAGGGGCGGGGGTCGACGGGGAGAAGCAAAGAGAAGGGAGTTGGAGGAGAAATGTTGTGACAACATTTGCCTCCAGGAAGAGGGGCCTTTTCGCCTGCATTACGGAATAGCTTCAGACGCTGGAGGAAGAGGGGTAGGTGTGAAGTCGACAAAAGCAGAAGAGAGAAGAGATGAGAGGAGAGAAGAGGGCATGAGACCTCATTCACCTCCTCCAGGTCATCTCCAGTCACACTCGCTTCCTCAAAGTGCAGGTAAGCCAAGCCCATGCCGCCCAAGTGCCCCACCACACTCACGTCTCACCTCCCACATGCCGCCCACAGGTATGTGCCGCCCACACGAGTCACAGGTATGTGTTGACCTTATCAAACCATGACACACCGCACCCAACCCATGAGCAAGGACTCAACTCCTTCACGTCCTGGCCGTGGCGAAACAGCGTCCATGGCCCACTCCGTCCAAGGTGCCCCACGCACCAAGCATCCACTCACCCGCTGAGCATCCTCCAAGTCATCTCCAGCCCTGAAGTGACGTCAGCCTGAATGAAGTACACGTGAGCCATCCACATGCTCCACCTGAGGCAATGCCGTCGCCTCACCACACCCAAGCAAGGAGCATTGATGAACTCGCCTCCTTCACTTCCTCGAGATCATTGCCCGCACGCACTCTCACCTCACCAAGTGCAGGTAAGGCAGGCCCATGCCGTGCAACGTGTCACTGGCAGCCGCGCATCACCTCACCTCCTTCACGTCCTCCAACACCTCCCCTGCCCGCACTTTCGCCTCCACCAAGCGCAGGAAAGCCAGGCCCATGCCGCGTGAGACGTCCCACGAGAGCCATCCCATGTGAGCCATCCCACGAGAGCCATCCCACGAGAGCCATCCCACGAGAGCCATCCACGAGAGCCATCCCACGAGAGCCATCCCACGAGAGCCATCCCACGAGAGCCATCCCACGAGAGCCATCCCACGAGAGCCATCCCACGAGAGCCATCCCACGTGAGCCATCCCAGCAACAAGCACACAGAGCTCACCTCCTTCCCGTCCGCCTCCAAGTCATCTTCAGCCAGCCCCCTCGCCTCCACCAAGCGCAGGACAGCCAGGCCCATGCTGCCCAGGCGCTCTTCCATGCTCATGGCACAGCAGCCACCACCAGCCATCGCCATCTCACCTCTTTCACATCCTCGAGATCATCTCCTGCATGTACCCTCGCCTCCCTCCACCACGTGCAGGTAGGGCAGGCCCATGCCGTCCATCTGCTTCACCAGTTGCAGTTGCAGGTGCCAGTGTTCACCCCACCTCACCACACAATGCCACACCCCACCCACGAGCAACCGCCCACCTCCTTCACGTCTTCCATGTCCTCCCCTGCCCGCACTCGCGCCTCAATGAAGTGCAGGTACGCCAGCCCCATGCCGTCCACGTGCTCCACCAGCCGCAGGTACGTGTCGACGGGGTCCGAGTCGGAAGCATCCAGGAAGGTGCTGTAGGGCGAGAGGCGCACTCCCACCTTGCTCACGCCCACCTCCTCCGCCACCGCCTTGATGACCTGGGAGGGGGGGGGGGGGGGAAGAGAAAGGGAGAGGGTATGGGAAACAAAAAAAGGGGGGGGGAGAGAGAGAGAATGAAGGAGCTGTAGGCAACAGGCGCACTTCCACCCACTCCACCACTGTCTTGATAACCTGCCTGTGTGTGGGGCGGGGGGGGGGGCGTGGGGGGGTTGGAGGTATGGGAAGGGGGAGCAGGGGAAGGGGTATGGGCCATCTCAATAGGGCGACAGGCGCACCCCCACCTTTCTCCCTATCACCTCCTTTGCTACTGCCCTGACCAGCTGCGGGCGTGGGGGTGGGGTTATGTAGAGCCGTGGGTGCAACAGCAAGGGAAGCATCCAGGAAGGAGCTGAAGGAGACAGGCGCACACGCGCTTACTAACTAAGTAAACCTACTTATGCGTGCTTTCAAGTAACAACCGCTACGGAACCTCTTAATTGAAGTCACAGCCACCCCCACCTGCAGGAGGGAGAACAGCCTGCACTCCAGGGAGCTGCCAAACTCGTCCTTGCGCTTGGCAACTGAATAACTGTAGTCACAGACTCTCAGCTGTCAACACTGACTCGCTACAATACCTATTCACAAACCTCACGGCAGGTCACCTCGTTATAGTCACACAGCCAGCCCCACCTGCAGGGGGAAGCGCAGCCTGTTCTCCAGGGAGCCGCCAAACTCGTCCTCGCGCTTGTTGATGCCGTCCTGGGGAGTCAAAAGGGGCCGATCGATGGGGGTGGGAGGGATGTGCGGGAAGGATGGTGAGAAAGATTGTTTGTTAAGGCGCCTTCAAGCCAAACTCGTCCTCGCGCATGTGGTGGGTCGATAGGGGAGGGAGAAGCGGAGGATTTGGGGGGGAGAAGAGGTTGGAAACACACGAGAGATGAGGGGAAATACGGGGGGACGGGAAGCAGGAGAGGGAGGAAGAATTCGCGGGGAGGAGGGTCGGAAAGCGGAGGAGGCTGTTGGACTACTCAAGGCCAAAACTCAGAAGTGGAATGGAATGGTGTGCTCTCAGTGGATGGGCCGGACTGGTATATTAAACACCTCACCTCAGACATGTAATTCATCTAGACAGTATTAAACTTAATGTGATGAGTGGAAACGTCTCAACTTAGGAAACTAAATAGTGGACCACGACACTGAGCAAGTTATGTCACCTAGGTATACCGCAATGGTCGCTAATAAGTGAACTGCGATTATCTCACCTTGATGAACTGCTCTCACCTTGATGAACTGCTCCAGCAGGTACCCGTTGGCAGCGTGCACCTCCACACCATCAAATCCGGCATCAATCGCATTGCGAGCCGCCACACGGTACTGCTCAGTGACCTGCACGCATCATTGGAAGGTGCAACGGGATGGGATTGGGATGATAGAAACTGGTTGGGAATGGGACGAGACGGGAGTCTCACCTGCAAGAGTGGGAATCGGACGGAAAGACAAAGAGGAGCAGAGCAAGAGTGAGGCAAATGAAATGCTAGAGTGCGAGCCGCCACGCGGCAGGAGGGATCCGTCACCTGCAGCTACTGCTCGCTCCGTCTCTGCAACCTCTCCACGACAACAGCGCTACTCATCATGGAGGCGCCACACGTGCGCTACTACTGTTGCGTCACGCCACCTCGAGCACGTTAGCATGCCTTCAAGCTGACTCATCAGCGCGGCAAGAGACGGTGGCAGAGCGCGTCACGCAAAACAAACGGAAACTGAGCGGCGAGTAGAACATGCGGGGTCCCTACCACCCGGCTGCGAAACATCCCGCTCCGCCCCCTACGCCCACGAAAAGGGAAGATGAAAATGCGAAACATTAGGTGGATCTTCCGCACTTTCATTTTCGCCACCTCCATGCGGCAATGCGACAAATCGTAGGGCCTACGCCCCCGTGAAGGCGGTGAAACATCAGACGGAGGATCCGGCCCGCGAATAGGGCGTCCTTACCTTCTTGGTATTTTCGGCGGTCATGGCCCTAGGCGTGGGATAGTCGTCGGCGCTGGTGCTGATGCACACCTACGAACCTCTTCCTTACCATCTTTATTTCCTCAACGGTCATCTCCCTCGGGGTAGGGTAGTCCGCGGCGCCGGTGCTGATGTACACCTTGTCCTCGCTACGGATCGGAATGGCGGACGGAGCCATTGGGGCGCGGCCATCGGGTTGGTACTCTGCTCGGCGCGCAGTGGGGGAGTGACAAATGAGGAGTGGAAGCGTGAGTGCCGACACGCGGAGAAGACGCTCGACGTCGACGCTCGACGCCGGAGGCCGGAAGATGCTCGACGTCTCAAAAAGTGATCGGAATTGCACATGCGAAGAATGCGGAGCGGTTAGCAATACCTTCCAGTCAGAGTGAGAAAACTCCAATCCAAGCCAACCCTCGCGGATGTACAAATGACGCGAGCGTCGGCACCAATGCCACCTACCAATCCGTCAGTTTTTTCTGCAGCACGTAAAGACGCGACAGCACCAGGGTAGCATTCCCTACTAGTGACGCGACTACGCTAGTAGTGTCGCGCTACTACACCTATGTAGGTGAAAGCCACAGTTTTGGGACGCGCGACACTGCCAGTGTACCCCAAGTTGGAGTACCAGTGCCACCTACTATGGTGACGAGCCTTGGTGCTCCTGTGACATGCGACGCCACAAGGCACTGACCTTGGTGCGACGCGCGGCCGACGTGCCAGAGCTGGCAGTAGAGCAGCGCGCCCTTGGCGTGTACCGCCTTGATCACCGGCTTCCACGCCGCGATCTGCGCGTCCGTGTAGATCCCGGGCGTGTCGGGGTACCCGTGCGCCTCGGCCGAGATGCACGTGGCTTCCGTCAGCATAAGCGCGCCCTTGTGCGCGCGCTGCGCGTAGTAGATCGCGGCATTCGGCTGCGGGATTGTCCCGACGGCGCGGTCGCGCGTCATGGGCGCGTAGACCATGCGCATCGAGAGCTCCGTGCCGTCCGGGAGGGTGAACGGCGTGAGAAGCGGGTTCGGCATGGTCGAGGCCATGACTGACGGCAAGCGGGACAACCGGGGATGCGGGGAACGGAGCAGTCGGATGAAAGAGACTGCGATGGAAATTGCAAATGTAGAGAAAGCCAGCCAGCGACGGTACAGTATAGTGTCACTCGAGCTGCCATAGTTAGCCTTGGGTTTGCCAGGCTATGGTGAAGTGGAGTCAAAGCATTTCCGAAGCCTGGGTTTGCCTAGGCATGGGGTCAAGGTATGTAATGAGTTCCCGCTATGGGTTCTGGTGAAGCTCGGTCCTTTTTTACAGTATATCGATTTTGTGCGTTGCAGATACCTCCAGTACGGTATGGTTTCTGAAAAACTGCGAAGTTCAGTTCATGTGGCTGCACAGTACAGTACGAAGCTCTCTCTGTGTTCGATGGTGGCTGCAAGGTACAGTACGGTATGGTGGTTGCTTGGGAAATGTTCTTCGGGTGGTGTGGCGAGTCCTGATTCATCCATTTAGATCCGAGCTTCGGCCATACCTCGATCTTCTTCCGTACATGTTTGGACGAAGAGGGTGTCAAGCCTCACCCGACCGGCTCGGCAGATTCGTTGACCCGATAAATCTCGGGGTCCATAGGGAACGTGGATGCTCGAGATCAGGCCTAATGTTTAAATGGTAATTACCCGGATAAATTTAATTTAAAGAGTTTCACCACGGTCCATTCCATATATTTTACGAGTGACGTACACAGGGACTCTGGTGCGTCTGCCTGCTTCTTCCGCGACCATGCCACTCACACGCCGCTCGCTGCCCCTGCCTCTGTCGCCCTTGCTGACCCCTCTTCTGGTCTTGTCATTGCTCGCAGCTCCACTACCCTTCCTTGTTCAGTGGCCCTCTCGGGTTCCCTTACAGGCCTGCACATCCCCTCGTTCTCCAGGAACTTAGTTGGTGTCGGCTGTCTTCTGGACCTCGGCGTCACCACTACGTTCCCTGGTCACAAGCGGTACGCTGTCTGTACCGAGGTCGCCTCATGTGCCCCCTTTGCGACGTTCCCCCGGGACCCGGTGTCTGGCCTGTTTACGCTGGACACTGCTTCCTCCTTGGTGGGAGCGTCCTCCCCGGGTCCTGCGACTACCAGGTCGCTGCGGCCTACTCGTGTCGGTCCCTCACTCACCCGTCGATTCTCTGGCGCTACCACCTAGGTCACCCCGCACTCCCGCGTCTGCGTCACATATCTCAGCACGGTCTAGTCCTCGGTCTCCCTGCGTCGCTTCCCGCCCTCCCTCCCACGCCTGCGTCACCGTGCACGCCCTGCGTCGAGGGCCGCCTGCGCCGTACTCCTCACTCCTCCTCGCTTCGCCTTGCCACCGCACCCCTCCAGACCCTGCACCTGGACGTCTGGGGCCCAGCCCCCGTCCATGGACCGCGTCGCGAGCGCTACTTTCTCGTGCCCGTCGACGACTTCACGCGATACACCACGATGTTTTCACTGGAGCGGAAAGTCGACGTGCCCGACGTTCTTATCCCGTAGGTCGTAGTTGCGCGCATCCACCGCGGTCTACCCGTGTTGTGTCTCCACTCCGACCATGGTGGCGAGTTCGCCTCTAGTCGGCTGGGTCAATTCTGTCGTACGGAGGGCATCACCCAGTCGTACACTCTGTTGTGATAAATTCATACTTAAGCATTTTTGTAAGTAGTTCCGATAGATATTGTCGAGTTCCACTGTAGTTAGCATCCGTATAACTTTCTACTTCAAGTACTTGTGTCTGCAGATTCTATACTTGGTCTCCTACACCACCTTTTAAAGGCTTTCATGGTATGAGAGCTGTCTGGGATTAAAACTATCATCAATTTGACTATCGTCAATTTTACAAATGACTGGACCATCACCATCTACAATGTCTACTTCTTCAACAACTGGACCCACGGGTATTACAAATCCTATAGTCCTCACTGGTCAAGCAGGTGACTCCGCAGCTGAAAATTTTCCATCTGCTTATTCTTCAATTGGGATGCCGTAACAGCAGCAAGGTTTGCCTACTGTGCATCCACCGGGGACTTCGCCCTCTGCACCTGCAACATTACAACAACAAGCCGAAGCATCAATATCAGCGGCTTGTAGTGGTATGAGTATCAATGGCTCCAGCTATACAAGAGTTGCAGCCGCTCCAAGCTCCAGTTCTTCGTTTTCGTTTACACCTGCTCAACATCAACAATTTCATTTTCTTCAACAACAGCAGCAAGCGCAACAACAGCAACAACAGCAACAACAACAGCAACCGCAAAAGCAGTTTCCGCAGCAGCAGACTTCTTTCGCTGGCCCCGTCCTTCAGGCTCCGAACCTTTTAAGCAATACACAGATCAAGACAACTATACCTTTTAATGGCGCTGAATTCTACGCTTGGAGTTTCGAATTTGAGCTCCTCACGAAATCCGCTGGATTGTGGCCGTTCTTTAGTGGTGATTATTCGTATCCTGTTACGGGAACACAGATGGAACAACATAGTTTTCTTCATGCTTCACTCAGCGCTTACACCGTCCTTATCCGCAATCTGTCGCTGAAAGAGCAGCTTGGTATACGCACTCTTCACACCAGTTTGACTCCAGCAAAATCTGTGTGGAAGCATTTGAAGGGATTATACATGGCACAGGATACAATTTCTGTAAGTAAAATTATCTCACAACTGACAACTGTACAGATGCAGGGCAACGAGAACGTTTCGGATTATATCTACAGGGCTCGAACACTTCGTGACCGATTGGAAAAGTGCGGCGGATACTTCTTAAAGGACATGTTTGCAACAGTCCTTCTTGCCGGTCTTGGAGCAGAATGGCGGCAGTGTCGTTCTCTTCTTCGTCTTCAACCAAATCTGTCGGAAACAGAAATTTGCTCAATCCTTCAAGCAGAGCAGGAAGATCTTGACCTGCAGACAGCACGTAACAAAAAGGGAGTAGTTAACATCATTTTTTATTCAACGCCCACGAAACGTGTCAACAAGTTCTTCTGTCACTACTGCAGAAAGGATGGACACAACATAAAATTTTGCAACAAGCTTCAAGCTGATAGGAAAAGAGGAGTGCAGCAGCAGTCGCAGCAGTTCAAGCAACCCGTGAAGCAGAATCCACCGACAACAACTCCTTCAATATCAGGAAAACAAGTTTTCAACTGCGTTACAACAGTTGATGCAACAGACTCAGATTTCGATGATGACGATGACGAAAACTCCATCGAGCAACCTGAGAACATGATCTTACCTCAAGTATATGCTAATCTTGCTTGGGTTGTTGCAGAACCAAACACTTGGTATCTTGACAGTTGTTGTGGACAACACATGTGCTCTGCCGAGACGCTCTTCATTACTCATCAGCGTCCGCTTCGACGTCCAGTACCTGTCACAGTTGCGAATGGACAAACCATTAAGGCAAGGTCAATTGGCAGCGTCATATTGGATTCCGTGGACACAGGTTTTTCCTTACACGTTACGAATGTCCTTATCATCACTGGACTTGGCTTTTATCTTCTTTCAACGGCTCAACTCCTGCGACATAAGATCAGGACATAAGGCAATTGTGAGACAATGGACCAAGAACTTTATCACAATGATACAAACACTTACATCGGGAGAGCCGCCACTCAGTATGGGGTCTCCGTTCTTCAATTCGAGTTGCAAGGGACCTCTGGATCTTCAGAAATAGTCTTATCTCTTGGACCTTGGCAACATCCCGAAGAAACTGATTTTCAGAAGATTGACGTAGACTTCCGTGCAGCTGCAGTCCCAACAGGATCTCGTACAGCAGCAGCAGTTATAACGGCTCTTGATTCCTGGCCAACAAACACAGCCGAAGAAGATACATCAGCATGGAGGAATGACTCTGACACTTTACAACAACTTGAAAACAAACCTACAGCACTTTGGGGACCCACCAGCAGCAGTGAAGCATAGGAAGCAGAGCAACAGAGTAGTGGTGAAGCAAAAACAGGGGTCCTCGTTGGTCAACCTGCAGCAAATTCAACAGAAACAGAAATTGAGGAAGGGGAATTAGTTCTTCAACCGGAAGAAGTTCTCGATGTGGAAATTACAACCACGAAGTTACCTCTTACTCGCTTTGTTCCTGGCTAACTCGACGAATCACCAGCGTTTTCTCGTTTCATTTCTTCCTTCTATACTAACGTCGATTTTTATCTGCGATCAGCAGGACACAAAGCAACCGAAGACATTTGGAATCAAAGGTTAGGACATCCTTCACCGAGGATACTTAACCATACTATCTGAGCTTCAGTTCTTGACAAAAATAGTTTGCTTTTACATGATGGAACCGAGATGAAGCCATCGTCAAGACCAGCAGTCTGCACCACGTGCACAACTGCAAATCTTCCGCACAAACCCTTTCCAAGTCACTTTCTGGGTGCACCTCGATACACACTTATGTAGAAAGCTTACAGCGACATCCTCAACTTACCTGAAGCTGGACCTAAGGGGGAGTTATACATGATCTCTTTCATAGAGGCTTCTACTCGATATGTCTGGACGGCAAACATCCCGGCTCGGCATATGGCTCACTCTATCTTCGTCGCGTGGCTCGCAGTGGCTGAAAGAGAATCGGGGGAGAAGTTACAAGAGTTTCAAAGTGACGGAGTAGGAGAGTACACGAACACAAACTTCATGGACTACCTTCAAACCCTCGGCATCAAACGCAGAACGTCTCTGCCGCATCAGCATCAACATTGCAAGAAAGGATGAACAGGACATTGCAAGAAAAGATGCAGGTCTTGCTGACTTGGGCAGCATTGCCACCATATTTTTTGACTTACGCTTTTGACCATGCAGTTCTTCTGAACAAGTTGCTGTCGACAACTTCACTTCCGCAATTTTCTTCGCCACACCTACAGTGGACAAAAAAGGTCGGCAACACCAAACTTTTAAGAGCTTTCGGGTGCATCGTTCAATATCTACCTCCGACAGTAGCACTTGGATTTTTTTCAGAACGGTCTAAGTGGGGGATACATCTTGGCATTAAGAAGCAGTTTTACGCGTGGAAAATTATGGATCTTCGCACAAGTCAAATCGTACCAGCACGTGATTGTCTTTTCTACGAACGACTCACCTTACCTGTTTTTCGTGCTCACCAGGCTGCAGCTTCCAATCTTAGCAGGCTATTTGAA